TTTTCTAGATTAAATCAGAATGGTAACAATGAAGTGACAAAGTAATGTATTCATAGTTTACTTAGACATCCTGAAACTTGTGTCTCTAGTGTGAAAAAGAATTTAGCAATCTGACCCAAGGGCTGACAAAGTCAGTAACTCCTTTAGGACCCTATAATCCCTCCTTTCTCTTCTTCTTAATAAAATAATAAGAGCTAGTTAGGCACATGACTCTAACATACTGTTGAAACAGGCACTGAAAGTCAACTTAAAATTAAGATAGTAATCTTAAAAACACTCCCACAATCTACATTATATGTATTTATGAATATGTCAAAATGAACCCCATTATTATGTGTAACTATAATGTACTAATAAAAACATTAAAAAATACTTCTGCAAAATACATACACACACCCCACATATACACATACCTTCTTAAGCTATCTTGCAAACTGGTGCATTTAAAAGTATAATATGCTTACCTTTACAGTGTTAACAAGCTGTCCATCAATATAGAGGGCTGCAGTACTGTTTTTCAGCATGCCTTTGCTCATCACCAAAACCAGATGATGCCACTGTCCCTCAACTATAAGCTCTCCACATCGAAAGCGGGCACAGCATGGCAGAATCTCATAAAAAGAGGATTCTTCACTAAAATCATCAACTAAAATGAGGGAAAGATGTATAAAACTTTTGGCAGTATCTTCCTTGTTCTGATAATAATTCATATTCAGATCAGCATATTTTGATTTTTAAGCTAAAATAAAATGATGATGCACATGAAGATTCCCTGTTCACTTAATAACCATGGCTGTAGTAAGAAATAAAGCCTAGAATCTAGGCATGCTCTCATCTGCTAAAGTACTTACAATTACATTCAAAGAAAGTTACAATAGCTAATGAAGTAAAAAAGAAACAAGCTAAATGGATGATAAAAGTTATCATAAACAATAAAAAGAGACTAGTTGACACCAAAACCAAAAATAAACAAGTGGGACTACATCGATCTGTACAGCTTCTGTACAGAAAAGGAAACAATCAACATAGTGAAAAGGCAATTTACGGAATGACATAAAATACACACAAGCTACATATCTGATAAGGGGTAATCTCTAATATATACATACATAACTCAAACAACTTGATAGTAAAGAAGCTAGTAGACGAATTTCTTCTAAGACACAAAAAATAGCTGACGGGTACACAAACACAAGCTCAACATCACTAATCATCAGAAAAATACAAACAAAAATCGAAATAATTTAGCACCTCACACCTGTCAGGATGGCTATCATCAAAAAACAAAAAATAAGCAATGGTGGGGAGGATGAGAAATTGGAAGTCTTGGGCACTGTTGGTGGAAAAGCAAAAGGGTTTTCTGTCATGATATAGAAAACAGCATGGAGGTTCTTGAACAAATTGAAAGTAAAACTACCAGATGATCTAGCAATCCCACTTCTGGGTATTTATCCAAAAAAACTTAAATCATGATCTCAAAGAGACACTATATTAAGACACTATATTAACTATATTACAGAATGGCAGCAAAAGGTCATTCTGCCTTAAAAATATTAAAATGACGTTTTTATACTTTCTAGATTCAAAGGAGAAAATAGAAAAAGACAAATACTGACCATAATTTTGGAGTAATTCCTCTTTAGTGGAAACAATCAGAGACCGGTCTTTTGCTGACAGAACTACAGCAAGGCACACGTAATGCTGCTCAGAAGAATTTGCTCGGCGAACAATAGTAAGGAGTCTGACGGGGTGGTTATTAGGAGGAGAACTGAAGTGTTCAATACAAAACCAGCTAGAATAGCTTAAGCCAGATGGAGGAGGGAAGAATCTTTCACCTGAAATAAAAGTGGCAAAATAAAAATGAAAGAGTGTTTTGACTCATATTTATATTTAAAAAGAGGCCAACGAAAGCATATAAAGGAACTACTGAAAAATGAAGTATTTACCAGAGCCAATGCCGCTGACCACAGCCCCATCATTAAGACATGTTGTGACAGCAGTATTTGTAGGGGCATTATGAGGAGCCAAACTAGGCAGAAACAGGCAGCTATTGAAGAAAAGACAACATATATATTAGAGATAACTATTTCTTCTCTTAACACTATGGATATACCACAGTGAAATAAACTGCCAGTATATAAAAGAGTTAAAAGATCAAAAAATAAATCTGAATATCTAGAAAAACCCTTCCTGTGTTTTAATTATGTGAGAGTATTAAACAAAATGCTTTAAAATCTCTAACAACATGTTAGGTTTAAACTCTTAAAAATTAAGATATAATTTGAATATGTAAAACACAAATGTATAACCTCAATCACAGCATTAGGATAATTTAATCACTGTATAAAAACTTCCCTTGTGCCCATTTCCAATCACTATCTCTTCTTTCCACTATTCTGATTAGTTTTGATTATTCCCATTATTATCCATTGTTTGAAAATGACCCATGACTACATGTTTAAAATCCAACTACAGAGTTAGATAAATGTGTAAGAATCCCAAAAAACAATGTATACATGTAGATATTATCTACTAGCAGTCTAAGAATTCACAGATCTAGCTATTTATAAAAATACACAAATAAAATAAGAGAGTTTGTACTGGCTCATATTTACATTGATAGGGGGCCAACTAAAGATAAAAACTTTATAATCTAGCTGTTAGATCTATTAGCATTTGTATCTACTTCGAGGCAGGTGCACTTAAAAAATATCTAGGTTTTCTGAGATTCTTTATTGCTGCTTGTGCTACTGTAGAATTTTCTGTCACTTAAATTAATTTGTTCATTGATAATCATTGAATATTGATAATGTATAAGATACTATGTTARGTAATTTGTGGGATAGCATGATGACAAAACCTAGGCTAGGAGGTTTTCACCTAATTTAAATTAACATATTATCTCTATATATTCATATTTATTATATCAGGGGTGTGCAAACTTTCAGGAGATGGCCAGATGATAAACATTTTGTGCTCTGTGAGTTAGCAACTCTGTCATTTGCTATCAAGAATATCAAAGTCTGAAGACACAGTGCCAAAGCAGCCATACAAAATGCTATGTTCTAATAACACTTCATCCACAAGAAATAAAAAAACCTTACCAAGAAAAGCAGATTTGGCAAATGGGCCTTAGATTACTGACTCATTTATTACATTGATTTATTTAACATGATAATTAATTTAAAATAATTACACTAGAAATCTTGAAATAGTATTCTCAAAGAACACAAATTATTTGAATATACATAGTATAGTATATACCATAATTGGTATTTACCAAGTAAATTTAAAACAAAAGATTCATTTGCAAAGTTACAAAGCAGAAAATAAAACAGTAGAATAAGGMTATCTTACAATTTCCTTACCCAAACCCTTCAAGGGATGTGTCAAATTCAACAAATGCTGGAGTAACTGATGACCCGTGAAGTCTGATGTCATGTGGGGTTGTCATGGAGACCAGACACTTCACCCTGGTTAAGGGTACAGTGCTACCTTCTGCAGATTTTACCAGACTCTTGCTTATCCGGTAATGGTTATCTTCAGGTAAGCTAAAAACACTATCAGAACCCAGACCTTCTAGAGATGTGATCATA